AAACCTAAGAATTTAGATTTTCTTCATGACACTGTGAGAGATCTGAATATAGTGTTAAAGCAAGGCTTAAGTTGCGGTTCAAAGGTTCTTAAAGTTTCTCTCAGGTGTGTTGTCTGTGATGCACCTGCAAAAGCATTTGTTAAAGTAGTCTAGGACCTGTATATGAGTTTGTATGCATTTCATTTAGGACAGATAATCTCAAATGTTTTGGGCAAGTTGACCATGACGGTCAGCATGGTAACGTTGCCCGAACCCCAATCCGGGGCGAAACGTCCGAAACTGACCACACCCAAAAACGACGCTTTCGCCATACTGCGTAAGTTTTAAGATTTTGAGTTGAAGGTTTTCAAAGGAAAACCTATTTTTGAATGAGCTGTACATAAATTATATATTTTCTGAAGGTCTTAAACAGTTTTTATACCATTTTCCCCAGCCAATTCCAGTTTTTTTCTAATGGACCGTATCACTAATCAAGTTTTCAGTTCATAAAATCACAATGTTACAGATAGATGTTGATATATAGCCAGTATAGCTAACCAATCAGAATGCAGTATTGGCTAAACCCATTTCATAATTAATCGAATATAATTTTTTTTCGAATGTTATAGAACGTTGCCGGGATTGTATAAAAGGATGATATTTGATAGATCATTTGGTAGATCAAGTAATTTTTAATGTTGTGCATATTCTTTCCTTATATACTAATGTATTTATTAATAGTTCTTAAAGTTTATGTAAATAGTTAATGTGAAGTCATTTAACATTTTGTGTCAATAAATATTTAGAAAAATTTATGTTTACTTTATTTTAATATTCTTAACAACCGCGTTTATTACACAACAATCATTTCCCGTTTTAATTTCCTTTCTCGAATTTGCCGACGTAGTCAGAAAATTCGCGAAAGAATATTAAAGTACGCAATGGTTCTGGTGCAATTAAGCTGTGTTAAGCTATGTGTACACACAGGGATTATAATCTGGCCAATTTAAGGTTTTAACGAATGCTGCCATTTTTTTCAAATATCATATAGTTAAAGCTGAATCGGCCGACAAATCATGTGTGTAAACGTACCTTGATGCTTTCGTTAAGTCATAACGTTCCCACAACGTTTTTACCACATTTTCACAAAGTTAAAATTGGACGTCCTTATAACGTGTTAGAAACGTTTTGACAACGTTCAAGTTACGTTCTCGCTACGTTAGCTACAACGTTGCGATAACGTTTTCTGCTGTCTACAAATTTTCGTTGTCACAACGTTGTCCCAGAACGTTCATATAACATAAGTCCAACGTTTCCACGACGTTTTTAAAACGTAATTGTGTTAGCTGGGTATATCTTTATTGGTGACCTATGTTAAAATTTTGCATGCTGTATTGCACCGCTAAAAACTTTCATTATACTCAAAAAACAAGAATTCTGTAATGCCAAAACATTTTACCGAAGAGTACGACATTTTCAAATTAATTTTCAAAAAAAAATTAAACTACAGAATTTTTTTATATTTTTCTAATTGTTAGCTTTTTGTCCAAGTAAAATAATGCACGAAAAAAATTGGGGGTCACCATGCTTCTTTTCCAACTATACCAGACGATAGCCCATTTTGGAGTAAATTTTGTACACGTATGTCGTTATAGCAACGTCATAGCAAATTATATTACTGAAACTAATATAATTTGAAAGTAGAGATAACAAAATATGTAAAAAAAACAATATCTGCTAAATAAATCCTAAAAATACGTAGTTTGAACATTTCAAAGTGTTGAACACTTGAAATTTTTTCAAAACTGTATCAAACCACCTTAACTTCCTGTATGGAATCACGTACTCTCGGAAAAGCCCGGGCAACCTTCGAGTTCCTTCGCGTAGCATGTGTTACTTCCTGTGAATACTTCGTGCAGTAAAGATGTCCTTGCAAAAAGCTTTGGAATTTTTAAAGAATGCCCCTTACTCAAATTGAAACTGAACTGGAAAAGACTCAAAACGATGCAAAGCCATCTACGTCGGCCAGTCCATCTACATCGGCCGGCCCATCTACGTCGGCCAGTCCATCTACATCGGCCGGCCCATCTACGTGGGCCGGTCCATCTACGTCAGCCCAGCTGTCACACACCACGCAGGATAATTTTCGGTAAGTTTTATCAGAATATAGATGATGGGGTAAAGATTGTTTACGAGTTTTATGTAAATTTTGGCATTTTGCGTTTTTGCTGCGAGCCATAGCGGACGTGTGACTCTAGCGTACTTTGTTATTTAAAAGCTTTCAAAACAACACAAGATGTACACGGATACTAGCCACATATTATTAAGGGGAGCATCCATACTCAACTTGCCACGAGAAACGTCAATTTGATGTTTCTTTTTCATACCCACCCACCCTAGAAACGTCAATCCGTGACAATGTGAACACTTGAAAATACTTGTATTAACAAACATAACAAGTAAATCAAAAGCCTTGATTTACCTTCTGGCAAAGTAAGAAAATTTGTTTGTTTTGCATATTTTCCTTGAATAGGGAAAATATTGTACAGGTTTGTGATTTTATTAAAAGTGCATAATACAAATAGAATTTTATATTATACAAAAGAATTTTAAATGTACTTTTATAATATTTAAAAGTGTCAAAGGCAAAACGTCTAAGAAAATAACCCACACACCCACAAACGTCATTCCATTTAAAATCACCCCCCCCCCTATTGAGGGGGTCTCTTTATAATCCCCTTAGGATACAAAAATGTTAGAACCCCCTTGGATGCGATTTTTGGAAGTTACCTCATGGATATCTTTATACCACCTTTAGGATATTTTTGCCACCTTGGATATCACTAAAACACCTAATTTTTGCTATTTAATTTTTTTAGAAAATCTCTTAAGCTACCCCATAGGAAAATTTAAGGTAAAAAACCCTCCCCCCCCCATAGGATATCCAGCCCCCCCCATGGAATTTCGGTTTAAAATTTGGCCCGGTCCATGGAATTTCCATGTGTAAATTGCCCCTCCATATGGAATTTCCATCATGGGACATTTATTCCCGGAATGTCCCTCTAACATATGTTCTCCCATGGAATTTCCATCCCATGAAATTTACCTCTCCCTCTGGAAATTCCATGTGAATTCCAGAGCCTGGATGCCCCCTTCCCTGGAAATTCCAGGGCTAATGCACCCCCTCCCCTAGAAATTCCAAGGTTTCTCAACAGCGGTGGTGCGGTAATAATTGGCATAGCCCATTATATGTTTATCGTTTATCGCCCATGCAATCCTACAAAGAAATTACCATGCACAGCATTTACATCAACATTTGTAAACAAATTATAGAGTATTAAATGGAAATAATTTGTAAATTGTTATTGAGTATTCACTTTTTAACACCTAGATAGCCTGTATAGCAGGTGGACAGTCTTTTTTGCGGCTGTACTCAGTTGCTTCCACCTGTATATTAATTCAGGCTGGTGTAGTAATATTCATAGTACTGGCTTGTATCCCAAATAAAAAGGCTAATTGTCTTGTATTTAAAGACAGAGTAAAATAGTAGAGTAGGGCACTTAAAAGGTTAATTAACCCATTGAGTGGCAGCACTCTCCACTTGACAAGTAAAATCGTCTGGTGTTAGACAGAGTAAAATAATCTGGCATTAGACAGGGTAAAATACAAAAGTGGGGTGCATCAGGGTGCAATGCCACTTAAAGGGTGTATTCTAAGTAGTCTGATGACTATTGATGACAATGTGAGAGGGACCGGGCTAAAATGATTCCAAAACTTTATGTAATTTTGTCTCTGGAAGTGCTTATGTCACACAATTTTCAATCCATCTAAACGTTAGGTATAAGCAGTGGAATGTGGGAAACATGTGTTACATGTGGATCAAATATTCATTGTTTGACAGTGATGTGACATAAGGACTTCTAAGGTCAATTGTTCAATGGCGATGCACTATCTAATGTCCATTATTATATCACTCAATATTCCTCAGGAAGTTAAATATTAACCTGTGTACAGTATATAAACTAACAAAAGCGCCAAACGGCAGAAAATAAGTCGCGACTTGCATAAGACACAAACACATTCTAATAAGTTGAGAGTTATGTAGTGTGGTCAGTCTGAACCGCTGTTCTTATTTAATTCACAACTTGAATAATTGACCATGTGTATAAGCACGGTTAAAATAAGACACCTCTCTTATGTAAGTTGTGGACTTATTTTCTCCAGTATAAAATGCAGTTGAATGCATAACTAAGTTACTTAGTGAATACTGCTCAGACATGCCAGATTAAGGTGGGAAGTTGGATTGTACTTGAGAGTATTTGCTTGGTATTATTTGTTCAATTTTTCGTGGGGATTCATGGCCCTTTTTATTTGACTGATTCAATTAATGAATGTGACATATGTCTGGGGTCGAGTGTGGGTTTTATGGCTGGGTTGCAGGGATTTAACAGCCATTGTGATAGCAGTATTCTATCTGGGAGGAGCTGGCTTTGGAAGTTGTGGCCCCTGGATGACCCAAACACCCATTATTCCCAAGTAATGCAGTTGTTCATTTCCTTTATAAGTCTAGAACTAAATGTGGGTTTACTTGCCATTTTAAGTTTAACACTGTATACTTAAACTTACAATCATGAAAGAGATCAAAACATGAAAGCCTCTGTACTAATTTTGTGAATCATTCATATATTCATTCATAATTATCCATTATGAATAGGCAATCTGAGTATTAAAAGGGGCTTCCACAGCTTGTTTACTATACATACAGTACTTGGGTAGTCTAACATTAATTCAAAATGACAATTCAAGTCCTATGGACTTGATGAAGCATCATCAATTTTCTACTACGATGATCATGTTTAAAATATGTAATTACTCATTCTGTAGGAGAGCTTTTCCAGGATTATGTTCCAGAGAAACGAAAAGACCTTATCTATCAAACAATAGAAAATCAACACCTACATGTAATTCAATGGGTGCAAGTCGAAGTCTGATTCCCTTTGTGCCCAAAGAGACATGGACACATGATTTTTACACTATCATCCACAACACAGTTATTTTCACCTGGTCATGAAGAAGGTGATACCCTCTTGAGTGCTGGATTAGGTCGACGAAAATTAGTGTGCCCTAATAAAAATGCCTCACACTCAGAATTCCAAAAGTTTTTAGAGTCTGAATTCCCCAGACTTAAAGCAGGTGGCGGATTTGAACTACTGAGGGCAGTTGGGGGTGGTGGAGGCAAAAGAAGACTGCAAGTGATTCCTCCTGGAACAGAAGGCTATAGTATTCCATATATTAGGGGTGTGGTTGATTCTGGAATTGTCTTTGTTCGACCATTACAAGCCAATCTAGACACTTCACGGCTGTCATTTGATGTAAGTTTAAAATGTTAATTCACTCTGTCACAGACTACAATTGTTTTCATGCAAGCATGCCCTACTTGGAATGAAAAATATGGTGCCTTTCATGCTGATAGTGCATAATTAGGGTTGGATGTTATTTTATGGACATACAGTACCCTGTAAGATTAATTTTGCTTGATGTAACAGTATGTTACTGAGTGTACATTTGATGTCATAGTATATGAACATTTCTGAATTAACATGATTAATGAAATGTTTTTCTCATTTTTCACAGGCTACAAACCCAAAATCTCCGAAAATAGAGTGCATGAATTGTGGTAAAAGCTTTGGAATACAAGAGCTTAAAGTGCACGTTAAAGACTGTTCACAAGCCAGCACCAGGCCAGTACTATTTAACAACATTTGTAATATTATTATTTTATTAAAAATATGTTATAGTAGGATTGGTTATTATTTTGTTCTGTGATTCAGTGTATTAGACCTTACATGCATGTGAAAGTAATTTTTGCTTTAGTGTGAACGGTTGAGCTTTTCAAAAGAGGTTTATTCAAATATTTGCAACCTGTGAAGACTAGATACATGTAATTTTTTAAAAGTATGGTTTGTAAACCCTCATATGCACTGGCGCAGGTTTGTACACCCACATATGCATATAGTGGTCACCGGTTGGCGAGTAAAAATCGTTAAAATCAATGTTTTCAAAAAAGGCATACAAAAGTGTAGCTAGGGGGTTCCCTGTGTCTGTAAGTACATTTATTTACTTGTATTTCACGTTTTAATGAAACCAATTCCCTAAAAAGATCAGTGACCCCCGTTTTTTAACTGATAATTTATTTCTTTAATGCATTTTACATTTCATATCCGAAACTAATTTAAAAGAAAAATTATTTCTGGATCTTGAAAAAAAAATCTTTATCAATGCATGTTCTCAAAGAAAGATATGTAAAGAAATGTGGAAAAGACATTTGTGGATCAGAATTGTACACGTTGGTAGTTTTGCTCAAAACACAATATTTTTTCAAAAATAATTACAAGATAGGTTTACTAAAGCAAAATCCGCGCTAAAAACGTCAATAAATATTGGGCTGTTGTGAGTTTGCTGTTACTCGTAATGAGCGTCAAGATGGCGTCATATTGGGGTAAAGGTGGTATATTGTGATTGTCATATCTTCTTAACAAGTTCCTGTGACCCCGACTTTTTTGTGTGATTTTACTTTAAGTATATCTTAAACCCCATGCCTGGGAAGTTTCGGCACATTCTCATTTCGGGAACAATTACTGCAGAATTACCTTACACCCGTTTTCAAAATTACGCGACCAAGGACGAAAATGCTAGAGTTGACATGTCAGTTTTATGTCATTCGGTCACGAAGTTTAAACTTTGAGTTTTGCGGTTCCTTGTCGATATATATGCTTTGTATGCTTTATATAAACATGCTTACAATGATTTTCAAGATATTTTAGTGAGAATTATTGCAAAATTTAAGCACAAACAAAATCATAACATATCGTTATAGTCTAGCGCGCGTGTTTTATACGGACAGCTAAATTGGGTGGGGATAAAACGCTGAAACTGAATCGCGGAAACGGAAACTGAAAGCGGAAACTGAAATGGGGGTAAAACGCTGAAATGGTGATAAAACGCTGAAATGGGGATAAAACGCTGAAATGGGGATAAAACGCTGAAATTTAATCGAATTCGTTGTTTGCTAGACCATTGCGAACGGCAATTGCTAGATAGTATACTTCAAAATAAGGTTTTATATCAATTTTTAAAATAAGTTGGGGTTAGGTTAGGGTTTAGGTTAGGGTTAAGTTAGGATTACTGGGTAAGGGTTAGTATTAGGGTTAGGGTTTAGTTTTATGTTAGGATAGTTTTTTCTACGTTATATGACGTCAATGCAACAGCCAGTTTATGCAGCATCAGCAACGCCACAAGGATCCCAACAGGTCCCATTACCTACTGCTGTCAATCCTCCAGTAGGAACATTTGTTCTTAGTCTTTTGCAGTGTTGTCCTCCTTTAGTTCGCACCTGTTTTGGGTGTTCCCAATCGTTAAAACTCGGCGGGATTATCGCAAGTCCACCGTATGATTTGACGATTATTACACGATGAATAGAGGTTTTCCTAACCCTAATACTCCTGATGGACAGTTGATGTTCAAAGAACAAAATGTATATTTCCATGTAAATTTGAGTTGCCTCAAGATGAAGCAGCCATATTTTAACCCTGCCTGCGTAACTGTACCAAATTGGCTGCCATATTATTTAACACCAGAACATGTGCGCTTTTTACGAGAGTTTGGTGCTCAAATTTGACGTGGCATGATGTCGATATTGTTTTGTTTTTTAGTTTGTTCAGTTAGTTTGTTCAATTCTACACGGCCAAAAACGCTGAGCCTGCTGTACTGTACTGTACTGTACTGTACTGCCTGTACAACAGGTTGCAACAATATTATGCTGACCTGTTTTTTACAGTTAACAACATTGAACAATATTATTCATCTTGAATGGGGTGCAACAATGCTGAACAATATTGTTAACATTCGTGAACAATAGGCGTAGCACATTATTGTTGCAACCTGTTTTTATCAACATTGCAACTACAAGTTCATGATTTTTACGCGTGTAGGCAGGAGAAGAAAAACGTTTTTTCCGATTTAGACACGTGTCCTGACAATTCCCGGGAAATTCCTGTGACACCGGTTTTACACCCAAAATACCAGCCATATGGCAGTGTGAAGATAGTATGCTATCACAAAAAGTTGAGTTCGAAGTTATATGGAGAAAATTGTAGATTACATTATTAATAAAAGATAAACTGTCAGATTATATTCGTTCTTCGAAAATTTGTGGTTGTCATTTTACCGGGAACTTCTTTCTTATATTTATTCAGTTTTATAGGCAAATTACATGTGTTCGCAATGGTCTAGCAAACAACGAATTCGATTAAATTTGCCCATTTCAGCGTTTTACCCCATTTCAGCGTTTTATCCCCCATTTCAGCGTTTTATCCCCCATTTCAGCGTTTTATCCCCCATTTCAGCGTTTTATCCCCATTTCAGTTTCCGCTTTCAGTTTCCGTTTCCGCGATTCAATTTCAGCGTTTTATCCCTACCCCAGCTAAATTCCAGGATAAATTGTTATTTTTCAAACTTTAAAAGTTATTCACAGCACATATTTCTGTTGTGATGGTTTGTACAGTGCTTTAGTTTGTATATCTAAGTTATCTAGCTCATTTTTGTTCAGTTTTGGTATTAAATACGATTTAAAATGTCGTTTGCCAGTTTGTTTACGTTTGCTATTTTTAGCAGTTTTTGTGACATAAAACTGACATTTGAAGTAAGAGTATTTTTCAGGGAGGTCGCATAATTTTGAAAATGGGTGTAAGGAACTTAAGTTTTATTCTTTTTCAATTTCAAACTCACATACCATTTTGGTTTGCATGTTTTGTAGTTCTGCAACCACAAGCTCTAGTCCTGATCCATTAAATACAGATGATGTCATGATGTTGCCAAAACCAGGAAATGAAGTGATAAAGGTAATACAATTATGCAATGGTCAGAAACAAGGATTTCATTATCATGGTTAAGGTTACTAAGGCCACCACAGTATATTTAACTTCCCGTTATGCTCTGTATTATTTACAGTGTCAATAGCTTTGAACTCAAGTATGCAATAGCAATACTAATGATAATAATAATTGTAATTTAACTTTAATATAGGAAACATTGTGCATCAACTAAATAAATATAAAATATAATAAATCTAATTTCTCAAAACACAGCGTTCAGACCGAGACACCTTAACAAAACAAGAACAACAACACCTTGCCTCCCTCCAAGGTCGTGCTTCAATCTTGGAGGAAAGGTTTTGCTGATTGTTGTTTTGCATTAGACATTTTGTCAGTTACTTTCAAATTCTTAATTCTTAAGATTCCAGAAGAAAAACCTAAAAGCTTGCAAAACATGGATATTGAGACCATTAAGAAAATCTTGCCGAGTGTTAATTAAGGCGACATTAAAGTTGCTTTAATAGCATGTGGTGGCGACAAAAATGCAGCAGTGGCAACACTTTTGGGTAGCGATGAAGGTACAGTAATATCAGATGTTATCAATTATACAATGCTTATGCAGTCTTGAATGTGATTGCAGGCTAAGAACCTATAGACACAACTAATTCTTGCCACCTACATGGATATTGAAAGGTGTCTGTAGGCGACGTAATTTTATATGCATGGCATTTCTATGCATGGCCTCCATACAAAACTCTTTAAAGGCCTTTGCTTTTATAATTGTATAATAAAACAATTATTGAATTTCGCTTTCACATGATAGGTGGATAACATTGACCGAATTCTGTATAATTCTTGATGTAGTGCTCAGCCCCATCCAATAATTTTTAATTATGTACAATTATATATTATTCAGATGACAGAGATGATGTAAACTATGACGAAGTGTTAATGAAGTCTTCGCTAGACTTTGAAGGTAAATAATTTATAATATTGTTTATTTTTCAAAGAATTAGGTTGCTGCATGGGTCATAACCATAGATGTTCATTTAAATATTCGATTCAGGCATTTAAATCGTATATGAATTATTATTAAACTTTTTCTAAATATGCCCCAAAAGAGCGATCTCATGGGAAAACTATGCAATAGGCCACCAGTACTGTTGGGGTCTTAGTACTATTATACCCACGACTATTGTTTAATTATTATTAGATATTAACGTTGTGTTTTTACTGTATGGAGTTACGGATTCTCTAAGATGGAAACATTTTCTCTTGCATGAACAACGGTTGGGAATATGAAATAAAAATTGAAAGAATCAGGGGCAGCGTGTTAATGTTAACGTATAATAGAGCCTTTGGATACTGTATACCTTTATAATAATTTTGTATCGACTTCACATTTATTTGTATCTCACCGCTTTCAATATTTTCCATTCTGCCCAGAGACACCAACGGAGATATTAGAAAATTATCAGATAAGATTCAATCAAAGGGCCCACTGTATCAAATTACCTTCAATCGATCTAAGAAGGTCTTAACAGAAGCAATACGAATTTACAAGAGCAAGCACATAAAATTAGATCGTCCGCCAGTTGTGTACTTTGTAAGTGAGGACGAAAAAGGAGAGATAATCGAAGAAGATGCTGCTGATGTTGGAGGGCCTAAAAAGGAATTCTTTTACCTAATTCTGCAAGGCCTTCTGAGCTCTACGTCACCGCATATTTTTGAAGGTGCACTTGGCCACAAAATTCCAGTTCATTCCCAACAAGCTGTTTTGCAAGAAATATATCTGATGACTGGTAAAGTGATAGCTCATGCGGCAATCCACGGTTGTGTTCCCACGGTGGGGATTGCAAAGCCTTTGATAAAGTACGTAGTTAGTGGTTGCCCAGAAGCAGCCAGTAAAGTGGTTACCATAGACGATATACCAGATCCGTCCATCAGAAAAATAGTAGAAGATATAGGAAATGCAGATTCCAATCTCTTGGACGAACTAAATAGTGAAGAGGAGGTTCAAAGTTTCATTAATCAGAGTGGATGTTCTCAGGCAATTATTACTACCAATAACAAGAATGTGGTTGCATTTGAAGTAATGGTCTACATTGTCATCTTCAAACGCATCAGAGAAATGGAGCAGTTGAGACAGGGTATTGATTCATTGTCCTTATGTACACTTCTTCGCAAATATCGAAACATGGTACAGATTTTCTTTCCTACAGAAGCAGAATCAGTAATAACTATTGATGTTTTGAAGAAAATCTTAAAGTCAGAGCCACAGACTGATGATGATAAGAACACTTTACAATTCTTTATTCGCTATTTGGAAGAAGTATCCGAAAGGAAAGAAGGTATTGTGAAGTGTGTTGAATTAAAACATAGTGTTGCCTCTTATGGAGGCCAGTAATGACTGGTATTTCATTTTCGGTTCATCGACATCGGATTATTCACACATCGTATTTCGCATGTTATACACATTAACGAGTAATATATAATTATTAAATAAATTGCATACAAATGAGACCTGGCATTTACTGTATATGAAAAGTTTTATTTTATCCACTCAATTAATGGACCTTTCACCTTTTGACTAAAATTTGGATCTCAACAAGTCTAGACAAAAATTGCATCACAAAATTAGTAATATTCCAAAGTTTCGTTGCGAAATGTTGTAAAATGCAGATAATATAGCCTTGCGACGTTTGCAATTTTCAGTCATTTTGTATTACCCGCGGGAAATACATATATTGGTATTTTTGTTTCCCATTTGTAATACAACACGACTGAAAATTGCAAACTTCGCAAGGCTATATTATCCACATTTTACAGCATTTCGCAACGAAACTTTGGGATATTACTAATTTTGAGATGCTTTTTCAAGTTGTGATGAAATTTTTGTCTAGACTTGTTGAGATCTAAATTTTTATAGTTAAAAGGTGAAAGGTCCATTGCATGAACATTATCAGAATTTTTACAATTTTTACATGTACTTTATTAACAGAAATAACAATTTTTAGGTGTTAACCTCAAAAGAGTTATGATTTTCATTACTTCGTCAACACGACCAGACTTCATCGAGATCATTTTTAATAACAAGCCAAATGCATTGCCAGATCCTGATACGTGTTTGGGGAAACTCAATTTGACTAATACAACAAAAAGTTATGAGAAGTTCAGAAGCGATTTTGACAGTGTCGTATCTATGCAGGGAGAAGGATTCGGACGGAGTTAAATAGCGACGAAAAAGGAAGAAATAAGACAGCTCGTTAATGTTATGTTTAAAAATTGATACATTTTAAAACTATATTATGAACATCAATACGACAATAGCCAATATGACAATGTTTAATTGATACGAACAGCCGCGTAATACATTTTAAAATTATGTTATACCTATATTTGTTGGTTATAGCGTTTAGTTTAACGTTTGTATGGCTATTACACCGATATGTTGAGTTACCGGTACATGACATGTACAGTAATGTTCTATATGTGTGTACACTTAAGACTATGAACTACTAGTTTCATTTTTTGTTTATATGTAGGACTTGGTAGGTGTGTATAGTAGGCATGGGGTTGCTCAAGTAGAACCTGTTGAAAAATATTGAATATAGAAACATGTATCTACTTCTCTAATTGTCCTACTGTACCTTCATGTTTAATAAACAGCCAACGTTTTGTTACACTAGCCATTTACTTGCCCCAGTAAATGTGTTACAAGGTTAACACATGCATTATATATGTTAGTCCCAAAGTCATCACTTGGACCAAGTGGATTAATTCTTCTCATTAACTGTTCATTCATTTCATCATTTAATGGATTTCTTGTTTCTGGAACAATAACAACTCGTTCTGCATCTCCAACTGGACAAGGTCCATCCCAGTCAATTCCATATTCATCTTCTCCATTCTAGTTACAATAACACAATTTTAGAAACACATACATTACAGAATACAGTACATTACAGTAAACACTTACAGTAAATTACAGTTGATCTATAACGTATCTGACAATAATTTTGATACCTTATTGTGTATTTAATGGTTAAGAGCATATAGTTTGGTTGGCCAAGTAAGTTGAAATGATAAACAGGCGGTTTGGCCCTCGAGCACTGTGCGCTTTAGGGTTAATGTGTTAACCATTCACCTTAAATTAACCAAATGAGTTGAGGTACGTTTTCATGAGGCAATATGTCATGTATGATTTGTATTCCTGGCATGTGTAGTAATTGAATAAGTAAGCGTAAAGTTGTTGCATTTCAAATTTCGCCATAAACTAAACGAAGAAGAATTTTGTCGCCAGCAGTAATTTTCATATGCCAAAATACGAATCGTTGACAACAAATTGGAAGATGTAAATGTACCCCTAACCAACTAAGGATTAACCAAGACCAAGTGAATTGAGCAAATGGGTTAATCTTAGACTGTTATGTAGTCAATTATAATTGTTTTAAATATTCACTACCTCATTAGGTTGTTGCTGCAACCAAACCTCTTGGGACACACTGCTTTCTTGACTTAATGTATGGAGGCCATAAAACCATAATTAGTTTGGAGTAAAATTTCTCTCAGTACTTAGTGGATGATTGTCCCATCCTTCTGAAAACGTTCTGAGGTGTTGCTTTATTCTGGGCGTAAAAACATATGCTAAACAAAACAAGTGGATTTCATTATTTATGTCAAGAAGCATGTTTTCCTCAAGGTAGTGGAAAAGGCAATAGTAGACGTAGATGCATCCAATAAAAACATCGCGCCACAGCCTGTCAATACGTTGATTGTGTACGCTTTTGCCCGATATGTAGCTGCCACGGTTTGGTCCCCTTCTTGGATGAGCAAACATATACCGAGCTACGTCGACATTTTCCACGCCCTGATCCTGTCGTACACGTTGAGGAAGCCCAAACTGACCAACAGCCTCCAAAAAATAATCGAGCACCGTGGAAGCTTGATTATTCGTACTGCAGGACAAGAACATAATTTTTCTTGAGTAGCCATCTATGCAGCCATGAATGACAAAACGCCACCTAAAAATTTTTGGACTACAATATTCTTATACATGTACAAAATTTCCTATCTATGCAAGGGAAGAGTCATTTAGTATGTATGTGCATAAGGGGCAGGACCGCTGAGGGGGCACTTTGCCCCAGGCCTTAAAAGTTCTTGACTAGTTGTCTCCCCAAAAAAGTAGAACTGTTGAAAAGTGCAAAAATACACTTGAACATTAGGAAATCAGGGAGACAGTAGGCAAAAATTAACAGACTATCATGTTCTGAAAAACATTTTACACCCATTCCATCAATCAACCAGTAATTTCCTTCAAACAATTATATACTTCTTCTCTTTTGAGAAATTTTAAGTTTCCAAGATCAATTATAGATGTAAAGGACAGAAAATTAGTAAACCACAGAAGGGTTGAAGGAGAGGGGATGAGATAAACAGTGCAAATAATTATATATAATAAAAGGTATCAATTGTTATCTTACTGTCACATGCCTGTTATACAAAATTTAACATTCAGATGCAGTATGAATTTCAGTTGAAGCCAGTGGACCGGTTCATGATTTTTAGACTGTTTGGTACTCGGTTTGTGAAAGTAATGCACATATCAATGTTATAGGGGGGGCAAGGCAGTGGTGGATCCAGCAAAGTTTTTTTGGGGAGGTGCTAACCAATGGCGAAACGAGCACCGAAGGCGCAAGATTTATAGGGTGGGCCGAGGGCATAGTCCCCCTGAAACTTTTTAAAATTTGGGTCTCTGAAATGGCATTTCCAGCATTCTGAGAAAACATTCTGGAAAATTTTTAGATTCTCAAAACATTTAAAAATTCAGAATATTTGAATATTAGCTATTCCGCTACTGTCAACTGGTGATACGCAACTGAATTCCTTAACATAAGTTGGTTAGAATTAGGATAAACGTCATTTTTGCACCCCCCCCCCCATGCACCCCTGTTGACCAGAGCCTGGGGGGGGTGCACCGCCCCCCTCCTAAATCCACCACTGGAGCAAGGGGACAGGATTTGATGAGAAAGTATATCCAGTGAGTGGGGAATTTGACCATCAGTACAGTCCCACGGCAGGGGTACTGTATTTGACAAATTTGAAACAAATAGGAGGCCATTTTGTATATATAATGAGGGACACAGTGGAATCTCAGGTCCATGAAGTACGGTACATTTGGTTAAATTTTGTCGCCAAGTGTGTGTCATCAGTTCTGCAAAATGGTGGCAAATACAGATCAAAGTGCTGATTTTTCTCATTGTTTTAAATATTCATGAATGGTTTTTTATTAATAAATATCCAAACTTTTTTGGTCTTGTATTTTTCAATAGCAGAAATTTGACTATTCTATTTGACTATAAAACAAGTTCCCTGATGGGATATTTGACAAGAAATTAAATTTCCAATCAAATCCAAGGTTACCAGGCTTAAGTACATGCTCAGAGCCACACACATAATAAAATGAGGCCAAATTCTAATGATGACCTCTTATACAACCAACAACCAATAAATATTCTACAATTACCTTATCAATTTGTGGTGGCCATCTAGATGCCATAAGGAAAGGGGGCTTTTCACGTTATACCTACGTCTTGCAATCGTTCTTAGTTGTAGTGATCTTAGTAATACACCATCTGGATCCATTCTACGTAGTGCTTCGCGTACTCTCGCCTGTTGAATTCGAAGACCTCTGGCCAGCAGAAAGCCCGACATACGCTTGGAGCCACAGTTTGGAAATTCTCATTATTTCCGATACTACAGTGTCTAGGTCCTCATTGCTCAAGTCAGAGAAAGCCATGGATTTTATATTGAACTCTTCAATTCTACGCCTGGCGGTCTTCGTGCTGACGAAAAGCATTTCGCTGATTTTGCCAAGTGAAAAACCGTAATGCAAATACAACTCTAACTGCTCTCTAGAAATGTTGTACTTTGGTCTACCACGCTCTCCTGAAAAAATTCTCCCTACGCAGTAGCAATGATAGATATCTTTGTCCGCCTCACCTAATAAGTTTGCTGAATGAATGAGAGTTTGCAATAGTTTGTTGTCAATTTGTAATGAAGAGGCTGATCTGGTCATCATATTTATTGTCAAGTCTAAATCGGAGAGTATCAAGCTCATCCTCTTCAACATTTCCATCACATACAGCTTCCAATATTAACCTTACACATCGCTTTGAATGCTGAAGAAGAAGCACTTTTGGATTGTTTACATCTACCATCTTTTTTATGGAAAGCCAAATAAAAGCGTTTGTAAGACTTGTAGTACTTCATTTTGCACGACTTAATTGTATCATAGACATGGTTATGCCCGACTAATTGTTTAACACCCGATGGCTTTACGCCCGACTGATTATGCCCGATTGAATTGTTTAAAGCCCGATTGAATTGTTTAAAGCCCGATTGAATTGTTTAAAGCCCGATTGAATTGTTTAAAGCCCGATTGAATTGTTTAAAGCCCGATTGAATTGTTTAACACCCAATGGCTTTCAGCCCGCATTAATTAAACACTGTCCGATCCAATTGCATTTTTGTCCCGATCCAATTGCATTTTTGTCCCTATCCACACCTCATAAAAACGGCTTGCAGTAAGGTGAAAATACATTTCATATCCCCAAGAAGGAAGGTGAAAGTATTTTTTTCAGGAGAACCATCAGTGGACGAAGGGGGTCCAAGGAGACAATTATTCTTGGGTATTTGGATTGTTAAATAATGTATTTTTTGAAAATTGTTTGTTGGCAAATTGATTTGAAATAAGGCTGTGATTTTAGGCCAAAATATGCACATAATTTTTATACTTTACATCAAGCTATGGAGGTAATTGTTGCAACCTATTTCAATGTAGAACTGCTGGAAGTAATGACTCGAAAGTTCTTCAGTGATGGAAAGCCAGCTGAGTTTACATTGCCATAACCAATGGTAACTTCACTCTATGCGAAGAAATAATGGGAATGCCAATTTTACAAGGAGGTCCAGCTCCGAATTTTTTATCAACAAGTGTTGCATCTTACCTGGTTGGTGCAACACTCTTACCTAGTAACAATAAAAAATGATAAGTACAAGTTGCTCAGTGGAAGTTTAAGTACAGTATAGTCTAATATTTAAAGGGTTAATTAATTATTTATCAACTGGGGGATAAATACAGGGGGTGACACCCCCAAAGAAAAGTCAAGAAAGGGGCCCAGGAATTGCAAAATGTATTAAATATCAAGACATTTTCTGAAAAATTGAGGTTGGAAAAGGTCTGAAAAAGTATTTGTAACCCCCAATTATCTCAAAATAGTGTTCTAGAAAGCTTTTTGGGAAGTTTTTATTTAACTCATTAACTGGCAAGCTGTTACAATGTTACCACCCCCTCAAGTGGCAAGCAATATGGCGAATTCATGATTGAATTCCAGGCTTTCACCAAAATGGCAATATCTCAGAAACAATTGCATAAAAAAGTCTGATCTTTTCAACCAAACATGAATGATATATGATTGACCAAATTTAGTTTAGATGACCTTGCATACCTATACATATCATTAGTTTTTTCAGTCAGTATTTTTATTTATAAAGCAGTGACACTTTGTTTTTCATGTCACTCATCACCTAAAGGGGCAATATCTCCATAAATTTATATAAAAACCAAAAAAAAATTCATTTACTAAATTAATACATATCTATATTACAACCAATTTTCATCTTTTGGGATATGAATTACGAAATTATCAAAAAATTTAAAAATTACTTCTTTGCTTTTTTGGGGCATCTTGTTCACAACATGAAATTTAGAACAGTAACTAAGTGTTCAAGTTCAACAAAGTGTGCAAGCCAAAACACAGTGTTTGTACATCTTTAAAGTTTTTTGATTGCTTCAAATATATTTAAAAGGACACATAGTGCTTAAATTTATTTATTTTAATATAAACCAAGGATGGGAAGGTGAGAAAATGGGAATTTTCTGAGGTGTTTTTAATACAGACAATGACAGCCGACATTTTGAAAGGCACTCTGCGGTGACAAAACTAAAAATCATAAAGAGAAAAAGCATCATAAAGAGAAAAACACTTTAAACACATGTCAGGTAAGACTTTTAGCTCAATATTTTCATGCTTCTATTGGGAAAGCAACGGTTTAAAAGCCAAAATTATTTTGCGCGCCAATGTAGGCTGCTATAAAATGTCAGCCAGGCGGTTTCTTTTGAAGTCTGGCTCTGAAAAACAATCTCTTTTTTTGAGTTTGAAATAAGCCTTCATAAGGACTATTGTATAGAAATGTTATCTATATGCTCACATGAAAAAGATAACCTAATATTCAGGTATTCCACATAGCTATAAAAGGGTGAAATAAGAACTTTCATCTTTGGTTGTTTGTCAGACGTGAGAAACCACATTAGTGCCATTTTGTCGCGCGTGCTATTTTATAAAATAAACACCTCAAAACCATAAACTTTTAGTTCAGAAAATTACAAAGTTTCCCATAGAGATTATTAAAAATGTTCTAGTGAAGCGATTTCATGATAAATAAGTGAGCAACGGGCCCAAATGAACTGCTAAGGTTGGTTTTTGTTAGGACTTCAATTTCATGGCTTCCCGCAAAGGAAGCCATTTCAGAGAGAAGCGACATTTTGCAAACAACCGTCGCGACCTATTTTCATAACTTTTCCTTCTGATTCAACGTGTAGTTACTAGAAAATGATGTTGCATCAAACATTATCTGCTTTATCGATTTAAAGTTTTATAGGGGATATAAAAAACAGTAAAAATGCATTTTGAAAGCTTTACAACTCAAGTGCGGATTTTTTGAATATTCGCACGCGGCAAGCAAGCGCGTTTATTCAATACACTTATTTTACACCACAATACGTCTGAAACGAGTTGTCATTTTAACACTAAATTGATGAAAATAGATATAACAGTGATTTTGGAATATCCTACTTATTTAGTGTAATTTAATACTCGAAGTATTCTTGCCAAAAAGGTCAAAAAGGTCACGTACGCACACAGTAAGTGTTGTTTGAAATATACTTTAGCTAAAATAACAACTTGAACAAGAAGACCAACAATGGGGTCACGAAAACAGTCGAAATTGCACCCAAATTTGCATAAACAGTTCGTCTAAAAAGATAACTTTAAACTAGATTCTACCAACATTGATGCGGTCGAATTTTGTGAGTGTTTGATCGCATATTTCTACTCAAAAATACCCTTTAAAAAATCGTATAGGCCAATTAAAAATAATTTTCAGTTTTTCATCAGATTTTTTGAAAAACGGGGGCGGGCGGGCGGATTTTAATTTTTTTTATTATTTATTTTTTAATAGCGTAAGTAGTAGATTTCCCCTTTTATTAAAAAACGGATTAAAAGGTTGTCTTCCATTTCACACATTTTGTCTACGCAAGAAATAGTCACAGTCAAGAGCCATTTTAACTTCTACGCCTAAATACGAGACCATGTTGTACTCTGATAGCGCAGAACTGATGCGTAATGAAACATTTATTAAAGAAATAAAAACATTTAATAATATGAACCATAAAGTATATGACTAATAATTTACTGAACATAATTTTATAGCCTTTGTCACTTGTAGCCAAATTTCAAGTTTTTTTAAACTTTCTTTCTTGATGATCGCTTCTCTGGTTTGCGAGTTTTCTTGCACTCTTCACATAGTGGATAGCTTTCGGGATTGGTATTAAGATCGTCTTCAACGCCACAAAAGAAGCAAATGTCTTCAAAACCTGCTGCATACCACGGCTTTTCTGTTGGTTGACTGCAATCGAGACTGGCTTTCACAAACACTGAATCAAAAACCCCCTCTCATTTCTTCATCCTCCAAATCCGAGAACACACTGCCACATGTGTAGGACAAATCCTCCAACGCACTTTCAACTTTACCATGCAGTTTACGCAAAATCTTTTTCTTGGAATACAGGCATCTCCATTTGTCACAATCTTGACAATTGAACCACAATTCCGACATTCTTGGCACACTGAGCACTTGGTGAAAAGGGCATTCCATGATTGGTTTGGTTTCTCTGAACTAACGACGGACGGTGCTTTTCCGAGCTTTTCTGGCCGTACACATCATCAAATGGCTTGTAGTGGTCGGGTCGACTTGGTTCTGGATCTGGTAAGTGGTGTATCTCGTTGAACAATTCAGCTGGTAGTCTGGGTGCCTTGCAAATGGTGCAGCTATCTTTACCACATTTTTTTTATGCTGAACATATAATGTCGTATTCTGCAATGGGTTTCAAGAAACTTATTAAACAACTGCTTCTTCTCTATTGACTTCTTTGTTGTACATTGTCGGGTCATGGTTGGGTCTATCTTCAAAATATTTGCCCACAGGTTTTCCATGTCATCGCTCTTTGACGCCTGGAATATAGAAAACTGATCTTCTTTAAGTTTTAAATTCATAATCAGTCCTTCGAGCATGGACATTGGAGCCTGCAGCGAGTCTTGAATCGATTCTTTGACGGATACATTATCTTCAGCAAGTTTTCGTATCTCTGTGGTATTGCCACACTTCTTGAGTAGCTCTTCCTTGTCAGTCGAGGTTCTCATAAGTCCAACAGATTGCAAAGCACAATTAAGTATAGACATGATACGCTCTGCTGGGTTTTTCCAGCTATGATAAGGTGGTGTACGTACTGCACAAAGAAAGTCAAGGTCCTTGTCAAGAAAGTATGCAATCAAGGGAATCTGCACTGAAAGGTATGTTGTGCGATGGTCTGGCCCACCATCGGTCTACATCAAAAGCATTGGTTTGATTGTGTCTGAATGTTCCATGATCTGCCTTAATTCGGTCATATGGCGCAGCCCAAACGACGACTCAAAGCAACTATCTTTTAGTCCAACATGTACCTTACCTCTGTAAAACGAGCCTTGGATATCTTCCGGGATAGCAATGTCAAGACGTACACTTGGTATAAGTTTAAATTTTGTGAAGTCATGGTCTCCAACTTGGAATTTTGTGTTCATGTCGACCAACACTTGTTTCCCACGTTCCGCTGAAGCAACAGGAAATCCGGGTTCTCCTACTTTAATCGTGTGCTTATCATCACAACTGATATAGGAACAGTATTCTCGGAATTTGACGGCGAATTCTTTCTGGTACCTAAATAAAGATGAAGCATAGTGCACATCTACATGTGATTTCCTGAATTGACGCGCTTGAACCATGAATTTAATGCGAAGAGTTCCTTTTTAACTGCAAACGTAACCATTGTATTGAAGGTGTTGGTATACCATCGCCACAGTCCTTTACTACCGAGTCATACAAATGCCTGGTATTCATCGCGGTGGCAAGATGCGTAACAACATCACCATCACTTGTAGTTGGGTCGTGGCGTCTATCATCAACAGCTGTCTCCACCTGTCTTTCAATGTACTGTTGACACTTTTCAAGAAAAACTATGTACTCCTGCGGTCGTCCTGCATTATTAACACGAAGGTCACATATTAAATCTGGGTCCTCTAGTTCCAACATCTCGGCAACACGTGCGTCAACTTCCGCTTCAGTTAAGCTTGAAGCTGCTGATCTGTCTCCTGTTAATCTTCTGTATGCCTCTCTGAGAAGGGCAGGCTTACTGTTGGTAACTTGACCAAAGCTATGTACGAATTCTCGCCTCATTGCTCTTGTGTGGTAATGCGGAAGGTTCTTTATTTCAGCAATGTTTTTGTTATTCCTTTCAAGGTATTCTGGTGCTTCATCACCCTCTAAGGGTACCTTCCAAATAAAAGAGAGATGTTCTCTGGCACCAGTGTATGTGAACAATACACATTTCACAGGCACTTGTAATTCTTTGAAAAATGAGTATTTTTTTGTTGGTTCCACTGGTGAATAATCATTAGCACAAATAACTTCATATTTATCAGCATGCGCAATTGCTGTGTGCAATTGTTTATATCTTGCTTGAAATGTAGGCTTAATGACTGCCGTACTTCGTAGCAACTGCACTCTATCAGTTTCGTCAGCTCCCTTCAGAATCTTGTTATGATGAATTGCCATGTTCACGCTGCTCTTCTTTAAAAAATCTGCATATTTGCGGAGGTTTGTTGCTAGTCGAAGAATGGCATTGTACAAACATTTCCATGCATCGCTTTTCATAAATGAATTTGTAGCAAGCTCGAATAAAGTCCCAGAATATGCAAGGAGTTCTGCTTGTTTAAGATTTTCTGCTGCAATCCTTTTTCTCTTTCTCTTTTCGGGTGTATTGTACCCTTGAAAATGAGCAAAAGAATCAGGTACGGCACATGAACGGGAACTAAGAGTTACATGGTTGCCATCGATGTACCACATCACGTCAGCAAGTGTGTTCAAAAACTTGTTTCCTAATTAAACAAGAGCAGAGAATTATATGTCAACCACACATTAAGTTATTTTTAATATTTACTGTTAATATACATACATTTATTAATATCACACGATTTTATTACTTCATACACCGTCTTTAGTTATTAAAATACACTGTATATGTTTTAACTGATAACGTATAAATAAAAGCTTTTAAATAATAACATTATTTAATACCTAGTGTTTCGACATATTGAAGAGACCACCCAACACCATTTTTCTTCAACCAGGAAACTATATCATTTTTTAACTTATCCTTCTGGTTGTGAACGACTACATTGCTTGGAACACAAGTTAATGTACGGGCAGCAGCAGTAAGAATGTGGAAGGCATTGGTACACTGAAGAGGCTCGGTACGATTTATATTTGCATCATGTGTAAACTCAATGAAGTTGCCAAGAGTTCCAACCACCTATTTTTTAATAATCAATAAAAATACAGATTCTTTATATGTTATAAACCGTACACAGGTACACTCGTTATTAATATGATCACAGATCTAGAACTGCAGAAACAAAATATTTAAAATATACAACACAATGAATCTACCTCTGCCACTGTGCACTGGCTGTCTACTCGGGTTAGGTCTTTCTTGCTCTTTCCAACATGGACATGAACATTGTTCAGTTGAACTGCAGAATTATCATCAATTGGCTCACCTATTCAAAAACCATATAAAAAATCATGTTTTTTTATATTATTAATTATTAAAATATTAAAATTGTTAGAAATGCTGTTATTAAAACTTTATATTTTATAATAACATAGATCGCCGTCGATGTGCTGTTGCTTTGAAATTGGCAATATATAAATAGTGCCGGAATATATTGGACCTCACTATTTTGGCGCCAAATATCGAAATAAAATTTGCATATTTTTATACATATTAAAATAATAATATTAACATATTTAAATCATTAAACATTTACATACAAACCTTGATCAAGGATCCCTGCAACCAGATCATTATAAACATCATTTAAAGAAGAATTGTCTGGAACTCGTACGCCTATCCAGGGCTTCAAAACTTGTGTTCCAGCTCGTATTTGAACGACAACGAAAGGCATGTTGAAACAATATGGCCGCCAATGTTCGGTTTCCGACTACTTCCGACCAATTCCGATTTAATAATAATAAAAAAATTATTCCGGGCGGCCAATTTTTCAGGGGCGGGCGGCGATGAAAAACTGAAAATTATTTTTAATTGGCCTAATAAGAAGAAAGATTACAACAAAAAATAAAAGAATATAAATAATCCGCGGCAATTCAAGTTCCATTCGTGAACTTTTCGTCGCCCCCCTGTGTTTATTTCCACAAAGCCCGCTCGCAGGCTAATACTCCAAGAATCTTGGAGTATTTGCCTGACACGTGACCAGCGTTTACCAGGGCTACGTCGCCGCCTTCAATTCGCTACTAGCCCTGGGTACGAGGTTGCTCTGAACCATGCGTTTTATTCATTCATCCCTTATAATAAACAAAGACTGTCAACTATCAAATTGACGCAGGGCGTGAAATGTACAACGACGAAATGTATAAAACAAGTGTGTAAACTCCAAAGATCGATAACATTTTTATATTTATCAACGTTTCGCCTATATTTCAATCATCATCAGGATAAAGAAATGTATATAACAATAATACGAAGCATTAGCAAACCGCACAATATATTAAATATAGGCTGCAGATAATACATTACGAGTTAATCAATACACATACAAATTAAAAGTCGAATGAGGGTCCTGAAGGGGTAAAATGGGAACTGGGATTGATCCATTTTTAGACTGGGAAAATGGGATTTGGGTTGCTGGGACTGGGATTTGGCCACTGGGAATGGGAAATGAAGTCCTCAAAAATGGGAATGGGATTGAGGTAATGCGAGTCGATTCCCAATTTTTCTACGTTTTAAGTATTTTAAAATACAATTTTGGTCCGTTTTTGGTGTCTTTGGTCATGATTTTTGTTGTTAACTATATTATTCACAGCACTACCTGCGAACAAGCATACTCTGGCGCCCGGAATTCTGGATTTTCTGATTATGTGTGTCTCAGAATGCTGCAAATGCCATTTCCGGGATTCAAACTTAAAAATTTTCCGCGCCTTCGGCACAACCCCCCCTCCCAAATTTCATAAAATGTGTGCCACTTCCACACACGATGGCTTAAAAGTCTTAAAACTGTTTATTGTACTGATAAATAAAGGGTTTTTTATTGACTGGGATTTCAATAACTCGGACTGGGATTTCTAATAAAAATCCAACTGGGACTGGGATTTTGCCAAAATTTCAGGTGGGAAATGGGATTGGGACCCCCCCTTCAGGACCCTCTCGAATAAAATACTACCATTGAATGCAATAATACTTGTTACTACTTGTGATTGAAAGAACAATGTTCTGAATATTTGAAGCTATTAAAATGCAGTCAGATAAATTGGGATTTGGAATACGTCTAAATGAGCATGTATTTAATTTTTTCAAAATCAAGAGCGTGCCATTTTAGTGGAACCCGTATCGTATGTCAAATGAGAAAGTGAATGCAATATCGTTTTTATTAAATTAAACAAAACCGGCATGAACGGCATTGTTCAGAAAGTTAATAATATGCAGTAAGATTATCAAATAATTGACAAAATTGTCAGCAGTTAAATAGTATACAACCTTACTTTCGGACGCTATTTATCTAAATGTTATACCAGCGATCGAGCATCAACAATATAATTATTCGTTTTGCGGGAAATTTAGGCGGGAAATGGGAATTTCCGGTTTCGGTCGTTTCCGGTTTCGGTCGTTTCCGGATTCGGTCGTTTCGGTTTCCGTTCTTTACAGAGACCCATGCAAACGTACAAAGAACTTAAAACAATTACACCCGTTTTCAAAATTACGCGACCAAGGACGAAAATGCTAGAGTTGACATGTGAGTTTTGCGGTTCCTTGTCGATGTATTAGCTTTGTATGCTTTATATAAACAGGCTTACAATGACTTTCTAGATATTTTAGTGAGAATTATTGCAAAATTTAAGCACAAACAAAATCATAACATCAGCGTTATGCATGAGTCAATTCCTGGAGTGACCATCCCCTCCCCCCGGGACACCCCCGGGAATTTGCCCGATAGACAGTTCACGGGGGTCGGGAATTTGCCTTTCATATATGTGCACGGGGGCCGGGTATTGGAGGACCCCCGGGGATTTGACAAAAGGTTGACCAAAATCCCACCCACAAATTTTAAGGCAGCAAAACCTAGTTTCAGGCACGCATGTGGGCGCGCTGATCGTATTTTGCGCCCTCGTGGTCAAGGTGGCGTGAAATTTATTGTAAGAATAAGCGAAAATTATACCCTGTGCCATGCAAATTTAAATACAACTATTAAAGGTTTATGTTTTATAATATTCCATAACAGTTTAATACTATAATGTTATTAAATGACTATGATTATATGCCATTAAAAGTTTAATTAACGTTTACAGTCGATTTCACGAAACTTTGACCACAAATTTTCCGAACTTCGTTGCGAAGTTCACAAGATTGTTGCGAAGTTCAAAAGTCCATAATGAGATTCACAAACCAGTTCGTAAACTACGCATTTGATTGGCTTCTTTTACTTCACGGACCAATCAGGGACTTTGCTTACAAATTGTCTTGTCAATTCCAATATGAGCTTCCGAACTTCGCGACGAACTTGTGAATTTCGCAACGAAGTTCGGAACAATGGTGGTCAAAGTTTCGTGAAATCGACTGTAAAATCGTCCCCGGGGTGGGGCATTTTCCACTCTCAGCTTGCCCAGGGCACAGAATAAAGATCAGAACCAGAAGGGCCACTCAGCGGTGCAACGTGTCGCCATTTTTCTATGCAAAAATATGCAGTTGACTGGCCAGAAGGCGGGGCCTTCAGCCAATACAGCGCGTTTATTGGCCAGAAAATGTAATCGACTGGCTAGGAAGATGGTGGCCAGGGGGCCCTTCTGTGTGCCTTATTCTGTGCCCAGGGGCCGTGCATTAGTCTTCAAGTTGTGTCCCAGCACCCGGGCATTTACACTATCATAACCAATCAAATCAAATGCCCGGGTGTGCTCCCGGGGGTGATGGTTACTCCTGGAATTGACTCATGCATTATAGTCTAGCGCGTGTGTTTTATACTGACAGCTAAATTCCAGGATAAATTGTTATTTTTCAAACTTTAAAAGTTATTCACGACACATATTTCTGTAGTGATGGTTTGTATTGTGCTTTAGTTTGTATATCTAAGTTACCTAACTCATTTTTGTTCAGTTTTGGTATTAAATACGGTTTAAAATGTCTTTTGACAGTTTGTTTACGTTTGCTATTTTTAGCAGTTTTTGTGACATAAAACTGACATTTGAAGTAAAAGTGTTTTTCAGGGAGGTCGCGTAATTTTGAAAATGGGTGTAATATCAATTTTTACCATGCAAATTTAAAAACTTCAAAAATAATTGAATGAAGTCAATAAGGCCACATAAAAAAATTACTTGTTTAGCGTCCACCCATTTTAATTTTTCTAGGTTGGGCGGGCGGGTTTTTTTTTGTTTTTTTTTCGTAAAATGCAACACAAAATTCTGCTAAATAGAGGAAAGGCCAGTATATTACCACAGTCAAAAGTCACTTTAATTCTTTCAAAATCCGTTCAAGTTTTTTAATACAGTTCATGTTTTTAATAAAACAGAAAATTACCGTTTGGCGGTCACGCGCGAACACTTTAGCTGCGAACAGGCATATTCTGGGAAGGAAACTTTGTGTAAACGTATTACATAGCTCCCAGAAGAATAAAATCACCATTTTTTCAAGTAAAACGGTCTTTTTTATGGAGAGTTTTTGCACTAAACTCGGATGGATTTTAAAAAAAAATAAATTGGAGGTCGGGGACTTTTATCAGGTCGGGCGGGGACGCTAAACAAGTAATTTTTTTTATGTGGCCTAAGTATAGCATTAATTGTGTTTATTGGCCGCCACCGACACTGATCGCGTGACACGATGCCAAATTTTACGCATGGACGAAATTTCTCTTATCTCAAAAATATCTGTTCTCTTACAGCAGGGTATATATAACTAATACTGGTGAAAGTCAAAGACTTTAATTTGGTCTGGAAACTAAACAGAAGTGTCTGCAAGGTCACGGTATTAAAACCACAGAGGTTACTCTGAGTGTCTACATGAATCATCAAACACATAGGGGGCGTTTACACGACAGTCATTTTGGCACGGCACGCTTAAATTTTGGCACGCGGACCCATTTTTTTGGGCACGGCACTCTTAACTTTTGTCGTGTAAACGCAAAATTAAGGGTTCGCGGGCCCAAAATTTTAAGCGGGCTGAGACCTCCTCAGGAGGTAATCTCGAGCCCCGTTTACACTACACTCATTTTTGGCACGGCACTCTTAAATAATGGCACGCGGACCATTTTCTTGAAAAATCAGCATCGTTTACACTACAAATTTTGGCGGGCCATCAAGATGCACTAGCACCCCTACTCTTGAATACGGCCCGCTTAAATACTGCGCCTTTTAATTTATCAAACTTCAGCAGTTAAATTCTTAAAGTAAATTTCGCGGGCATTTTAAAAAATGGAGGATGTAAAAAACAGCAAACTCGGCACTTGTTTGGTATTTTTATGTGACAAAACGGAGACGTTTACGCTTGGCAAAATTTAAAGATAACCGTGTACGTAGAATAGCGCTTCACAACATAAAAAGAAAAGGTAAAAAGAATTCACTGAAACGGTACTAGCTTTTTTTCATCGCCAAAGAACTAGAACACTGTGGATGCACCCACGAACATAGATCTGGTTTGAGATGGTGGACGACACCTACAACGACGAGCTATGGTATGCTAACTTCAGAGTTAGGAAAGAAACGTTTACATTTATTCTCAGAAAGGTTGAGCCCGAAATAGCTCATGAAAATACACATCTTCGAGAAGCAGTTTCAGCAAAACGACGGCTGGCAGTTACATTGTATTATCTAGCATCCACGGCTGAATACCGCACAATTGGCAACTTATTCGGAGTTTCACGGTCGTTTGTGTGCCAGTG